TCATCATCACCCACTGCCATCTCTTGGGCTACTCTTTTACCCATGATTAGTGGGATTGACCATCACATTATAACACTCCCATGATTAAAAGAGCAAGCATGTTTTGATGACATGGGGATTGAAACCCAAGACCCTTAGATTGCAATTCAAGCATCCTAACCACTTGGCCATGCCAGGCCAGCAGCTAAGAACTGGTAAGTGGTAAGGACTCCCATACTCCACCAGAAAAAGGAGGAAATAATGCATCGGAGAGTCTGGAGGAATGCAGTACCAAAGATAGTGCAATGGGTGACCTCAATACCCTATATTGAAAAGCAGAGCAATCATATTGACAGAGTGCATCATCCATCACCTTGCAGTGTCTGGAATTGTACATCAGGTTCATAATAGGGTGAGCATCAAATGCTATGGATCATCAGAGATGGGCAGCGATCCTTGTCTGCTTTATTCATGGTAGTTCATGAGTGTATGGTCCGAGATGAACATATTTATGAAGCAAAATACCTCAAGTTACACCTACGAGTGGTTCAGCAGAATGCCCCATCTCAATGGTGAGCATAAAATGACCTTGTGATGTGTTATTTTGTTTCTTTTTCTACATTTTATATCAATGCATAGAGGACATATTGGACAGAGTTGATCAACCAACACCTACCTGGTGGCATCCGGATTGATAAATCAGATCCATGATAGAAAGAGTCTCATCATCACAGTCAACTAGCATATTCACAGGTCATACAGTGCAGATTTAAGACTAAGTATACCTGGTCAGGCAACACTTGCCACAGAGTGAAATCCAAATATATGATAAAGGCCTCTGGAAATAAAAAGAAATATGAATGGAGTACTTAACACCACATATACAGTCACAGCACTAATGATGTCTGCCAAGGGAAGATCAAAATGTGCAACCAGGGACATGGTGAGATGACGAATCTGATGGGAAGAAAACATGAAAAAGGTGACAATCATCAAGTGAAAAGGAAGAAAATGCCAGGTAAATGAACTAGAGAATTCAACCAAGAAGGGTGATGGAAAAAGGTCAAGAAAGAGGTGAGGATTTCACGGAGGAGACAAACAGGTTTGGGAACCACGGAAGAGAGCAGTACATGTCATATTCTTTTGGAGAGCCCTGACATGACAAAGGAGGTGGTGGGGGTTGGAAGGTCCATGAAGTGATGGCTCTGGTCTGTTGGGAGTTGACTACTTTCATTTAACAATCAGAACACACTGATGATTGTCCTAACAAGGTTTACAGTGATCTTTAAGTTTTGGATTTGGACAGCCTTTTTCCCTCCCATCCTGAATATGGGTCTTAGTCACGTGTCATTTCTGGGCAAGTCCTTTTTCCTCTTTGCTGGATTTGTTATTCAGGTATGTTATGTTCTGTACTTATCTTCCATTTCCTATGTTCCACCCCTATCCTTCTCAAATGAAAAATCATGGTTTCAACCTGTTAGACAAGGTCAGGAATGCCATAGTAAGAGCAGTCATAGTCATCACCACCCAAAGCACTGACACAGTAAGAGGAGTTGTAGTTGTGACCATCCAAAGCTGCAAGTGCATAACTCCCGAAATTGAAAGAGGAGAGTAGATAAAATAAAAAACTGTAACTCTCCAAGAAACATAATAAAAATGTAAAATAACAAATTAACTGAATGACAAATTCAGAAAAGTAAAAACATGTGGATAGTTAATTAAACTGTGAGTGAAAAACATGTCTAATCAGTAGGACTGCCAATCGAGAAGTGATTAACATATGCATCATTAGAGAGGGCGTAGTTAAGATACAGGTAGTGTCGCACTCCTATTGGTGGAGGGTTACTGCATGATCATTTGCATGTTAGTATGCAGTAATAAGTGGGAGTAACATAGCTAGTGATGATGAAAATTTGTGCCGATAGGAGCAGTACAAGTCAAGAAAGCTTTTTTGTGAGTGGATGTAAGATATTGTATAAGAATTGCATATACAATCAGCTTTTCTCAATTACACTATAGTACTTAAACATGTAAAAGAAAGACCATTCCTCACCCTTTGAACTTCTACTCCTACTTCTCTTAATCTCTGGCACAGGAAAACAGAATTTGTATCTTTTGTCAGTCCTTTTAATATTTCATCACCTATAACTAAAAATATAAAACACAAGTCTCAATATCATTATAAAGGAACTATAATCCAATAACCATAATGCATCAAAACAAAAGGTGATTCAACTCTTCAGTGTTAATACCTATTATTTTAACAAATCCACAACTACTCACCTCATAGTGTGAGAAGAGGTATATTTTGAAAGTACAATTTTACCCCTTTGAGCTTAAACCTGAAGACAGGTCTCCCTTATTTCTGACCACTGTATTCAATCCCATTTATCTATCTGGAAGTTTCTCATTTGTAGGACTTTAATTGCAAGGAAAAATTCAAACAAGTAATGTCAGGGAGATTATGGTAACAAACAAAATAACTATTATAGCTAAGTATATATATATATAAAGGAATAGTGTTATGGTTCCACTGAAATTGTAACCTTACTTACAGTCCCTTTTTCCAGAGGATATATACCATCCATTCATTAAATACTAATTAGTTGAATGTGATTATAATTATATTGTGGAGTTATTGTATCACTGATGGATTTAAAAATTTATACTATTTTTATCAATGTAAAGGATTTTATTTAATGGTCTACCAATACATTTAAAAAATATAAATTAAAACCACATAATATTAGGTGAGGGATACTCTCAAGCCATTATCATATTCTTCACATTAGAGTAAGCTGTGTAGCAGCCGTATCATGCTCTAAGAAGTCATGCATAAGAAGTGCAGTTATGAATATAATTAAGTTGACAATTAAATATTCAGTTACTTAAATGTAATGAACTTTGACACCACTTAATGAATTTGAGTTTATTGTGATTTTCTTGTGAGCTGATTGGATGACCAAATTCTACACCTGAAAGACTGTAGTATTGGAGATGTCACAACAGTAAAATAAGCAATCTATAGTCTATTGTGTATTAATAAATAGAGAATTATTACTATTATTACACCCAACTTTATCGTTATTAAGAGGACGAGGCATACGTTCTTATACAGAATCTGCTAAACTGTCTAATGCTCAATTTTAAATGATTAGTCAGACCACAAACTATTATTTTATCTACATTAAAGACAAATGTAAGGCTTTGAAGTATTTATGTTTGGGCCTGTCCAAGATAATAACTACTATCTCTTCTATACCCACAACAAAAGCATTATTTTGTTCAGCACATTTTCATCTGTTGCCAATAGATTTTCCAAACACACTGTTTATGAAAATTACAAGTCAACTTAGTTTCTTTGCTGTAAGTATATGCTTAATGTAAATTTATAAAAAGGAAACATACTTATGATTCCAGCTGTGACTTCTGATTTCTGAATGCAGACATTACATAAAAATCTCTGGATAACATCAGAGTTGAGGACACAATAACTGTGTCTAAACTTTGGCTGCCTAATGGGGTAACTCTTGGAACCTAAAGGTCTTAGTAGCAACAGAGATCTCCTCAACACCATATCCTATGGATCTGGTTGGGTTACATAAAAACAGAAAGAAAACAAGTCACTTATTTCACCACTTTTCCAGCAATATCATACCTGAACTGCTAAACTTTGAAAGTTGACTGTCTGAAGTTCATGGTAACATTTTACATTTATATATACAGATGTCTTTTACCTACAAAATAAAAAAATTAAGTCAGAAATTAGTTACTTATTCAATTATGCTAAATAAACAATGTGATTTGTTGAAAATATATTTATGCTAAATATCACACACAGAGTGAATAATTATGTAACTTCAATGATTCTATTAAGGTAAATAAACAATATGACTTATTACTTAAAAGATTCTATTATAAAATATCACAATGAATAATTATTTAAGTTCCCTATACACTTTTCTCAAACAAGCAAAAGTGCCCATTTCCAGTGATGGGAAAAGTTAAAGCTAATCCATAAATTTAAATTATTTCATGGACTTTGAAAAGCTTAAATGTGTTGCACTCTTGGTTTCACTCAGAGACAAAGCTCTGAACTACTTATACTGCCAAACACGAAAAGTAATTGTAGCATTTCAGTCATGCTAAGAGCCACTCAACAATAATATATGGTAAATCTACATGTTTATTCTTTAATTCTTTAGGCTATGTCACATTTGAAATGTGAATGATAGTGTGATTAATTCCTCACACTTTATTGTATAATATCCTTGTAAAATAAAATTTGGTATTATCAACATTATTCATGCCCATTTTCCCATCATTTCAAGATTGAATGTTGAGCTTTGCATGCATGCGCAGCTTTTTAAAACAGAAGAAAGATGAGTGCTTGGACAGAGAGCATGGTTCACAATATATATATATAAAAATATAAAACTTAGTTTAAGAAACATGCAAAGGCCTCTACGGGTACACGAATCAAGCAGTCAAACACATCATTCATCACATTATGAAACAGCCATCCAAGATTCAGTATTTCACACATTTCACCTTACTAATTGGAATCACTAAAATAGGTATTATTTTTTCTTCTCCTTAAAAGTTGACTACAGTCACTCATTTTGGATCATGTTCAAAATTTTGTAAGATCAAATGGTGAATTTATAATCTCTGCAGTTAAGCTTATGAAATGCTCAACAAAAATTTACTTAACATAGACATAATGATTACTTCAAAAACAGGGTACTATACTGTATTCATTCCAACGCCATACAAAAAAAGGATTAATTTTGAAAAATTGCATTAAACTAGAAGTTATAATTTTCCAGAATGAAAATGTATTTCTGATAGGTACTTCCCTCTTCTCACACTTCCCACCCATCTTCCCAACAATCTTCCGGTGCTCACATCTTCTGCCAAACTTCAAAGTGATAGTTCGGTAGTGATGCGTAGAGGGATAAGGTACTCTCCTTCTGCTCACAAGATTAGCTAGAATCCCACATTAAAATGGATGAGGGACCAGTGCAAGGGAAGCACAGGCATATCCTCCAGAAGCATCTAGAAGACACCCCCTGAAATGAGGGTAACAGATCTGATGATCTGAGGAGTGGCACAGCACCACATCTGAGCCAGGTATCTCTTTGCCAGGAACATCAATATGACCAGGAGGGGTGAACTGCATATGTGCATCTCAACTCTGGGAATTAGTTACTCCTCTGGAGGATCTTGTAACCCCCTCTACACCAGTAGAACATCACTGCCCTATTCTGAACTGGATGGTTATAGCCATCTCTGTGGAACCCAGCAGGCTTGTAACTGGTAAGGACTCCTGTACTATACTGGAAGAAAAGGGGGAAAAGGTACAGTGAAGAGTCCAGAGGGTGATCACGAAACCCTATTTTAAAAGCAGACCACACTGATTTATTCAACCTAGGCATGGCAGGGAGAGAGCAGCAATTTCCTTCTGCTTTATCCATGCCATCCATGAGTAGTACAGTCCTGGAGGGGGCATATTATGATGCAATTACCATGAGAAATTTACACTCTAGTGATTTTGTGAAACACCCCCCATCTCAAGGGTGATTGTACATAGCCATGGAAAATGTATAAGAATCAACATGGCTTACAGTGCAGATCTGATAGTAAGATGTCTGCAAATGGTTACAGCCATCTAAAAGGAACCCATTTTGAGTATAGGCAGAATACCAGTTGATAGGGTGAAGATCGATGATCATTTCTCAATTAGGTTTGACGTTTTACTACATATAGAGATAAGGAATAATGAGATTTTTGTTACAAATTTCAAAAGAAAAGAAAACTTTGAAGAGATTCAACAAGAATTATCTCTTGTGAATTTGGCAACTGAATTTATTGGAGATACTAAAAAAATATGGAAGGATTTTAGAGATAACTTTTTAAATGTTAAAGATATACAGATTCATTTTTAGAAAAAATGTGACTGTAAGTAAAAGACCAAGTTGGCTTACAAAAGATATAAATGATTCATATATACATACAGTGCCTTGCTAAAGTCTTCACTTCAGGTAATACAGTTAAAATCTGTACAGATTGTACTACAGTACAACTAGGCTACTAACTAGTGGCATTGTAAACTAGTATAACTAGTTGTTCATGTGAATGGGAGGGTTAAATCTAGGTAATAAAGAAAAGGGTAAAAAAGACCATAGAAAAAAAATTCAATTGGAAAAAGACAAATAAAATTACACAAACAGCTAAAAAGTCAAACATGTATTTTAGGAAAACAGTATTAATAACAGTTATGCCAAGTCAAAGCCAATTATTGAAACCATGTTAACCAATGAAGTTAATAATTAAGCTGTTATAAATAGTTTTTTAACCAATGGCTTCTCATTATTGTTCAACACTTGCTACTAAACCCTACTGTTAAGTTTATCCCTTCTTATAATCTGTTTACTTTGTATATCTATATAATTTTTTTTTTTTTTTGCTTTTTTCACCTGATTGTGTAATTTTCTTTGGTTTTTTTTACTTTTGTCCTTTTTCCATAGTCTTTTTTTTACCCTTGTCTTTATTACCACCACTGGAAAGGGTTATATTATGAGGTAGCTATATTTATAGGACTGATAAGTAAATATGATATACTTATCAGTTCTACAAGAAGAGCTACATATGAGAACAGATTAAGACCTATTTTCTCTTTAAAAAACAAAAGTGTGAAAAGAGGTGATCTTATTGAAGTTCACATGAATATATGAGGGATCAATAGGATACAGGACTCCAATTTCATTATCCTAAATTCTGAGGGCAATAGGATGAGACACATAAGAAGTAATTTGGGAACAGAAGACTATGGTAGTTATATTTTTCTATCTGCCTTTATGAAATGAGATGCCATTAGTATTTGTATAATGGAAGCCAACACTTTACAACTCCAAGTGTATAAAAAGGAATTAATAATTTCATGAGAAATAATAGGTGGGTTCATAAGTTTTTAATTTTTCTCATACTGGGTGTTAAAGGATAGTTTTAAACTTGAAGTTTAAAGAATCAAATGGTCCCTCATTGACTGTAGGCCGAGCAGTACTAGTACGCAGAGCTCCACTAGTAGTAGGTCTGATAAGTATATACCCTACTACTAGAAGAGCTACGTTGTCTGTACCATTGTACGTTTACTAATACTATACCACTACCAGTAGTAATCCTAAAACTAAAAAGCAAATAACAGGTGTAATCTTAGGGTAAAACGAACTAAAAGTAAAAATAGAATGGAGATGAAGAAATACCTACCAAATGAAATACTGTTACAAACAATACAATTTACAAATACAGTAGTACGGTCTTGTGTTTACTTGACAATAGTACATCACGAAAGTAAAAGGAAAAAAAAACGTAAAATTCATTTTTAAATTACGATATTTTATCTTCTTTTGTCAGCGAAAATAACGTAACATACTACTTCCTAATTTTAAAACAAAAGAAATTATTCATCAATAAGTAAATTACGGAAACTCACGAAATGACACTGACAGCAGAAATTGTTTTTCATATAAAAAAATTAAAATATGTTATTGTTGTGATTTATTAGCGCAAAGCTTCACAATGGGCTGTCTGTAATATGTCCACGACGGGGACTAGAGCCCAGGATTTTAGCCTTGAAATTACCTCTGACTCACAGGAAAACTAAAAAGTATTATAAAGCATAAAACTGTATTAAACATATTTAAATTAATTACATTATTCATCACATCTTTAGACTTTAAACACACACTTAAAGCAAAATATAAAATTTATTAAGCATTACAATATTTATGTGTATTTATTCATTTACCATGGCAGGTATTTTGATTTAAAACTTTTAACCTTAAGTCAAATTAGATTTAAAAATTAATTTCGACCCAGGGCCAAAAACAATAGGGGGTATTCAAAAACAATTATCTCTTCACTCCACTCATGCACTAGATAGATTGCGAGTGGTATAAGTGACAGTGATAATAATAATAAAATTATTCACGTGGAATTTAAATCTGGTTAAGAGGACTGGGATGGCTCAGATCAAGATAATTGTAAGGTTATGTGTATCAACTAGACTCAACAACAAAAAATTATAGAAAATATAATGTGTCTATTAACGTGAAAATACCACATAGTTGTTGGAAATAGAAATTTTGGTGATGTGTCAAAGACATTATTCCATAGTTTCTTTCTCTTTTTTTTCTGCTCACATGTGCATTGCCCTTACTCGAACTTTTTGATAAAAGTTTAATGAATACTTCTATCTTAATGAGCTTATCTGACCTGAGAGGCATCGTGCTACAGAAACCATAGGTCACTACCTGGAGTAATTCATTGTTACTGTGTTGCCCTGGACCAAGGAGTGATTACTCGTTCAAGGGTAAGAGTCCTTTGGTATGGCCACTGCGCTGTATCTCCAACCTTTAGGAAATCTCATGCAGCTGTCAGCCAATAATATATGGGAGAAAGATTTCTGATGGCCTCACAGATCCCTATAAGTAAGATTAAGCAGATTTCTCATCCAACGTTTAAGGGTACAGTCATATGTGCCACTTTCTAAATTATTTCAGACAAGTCACTGTCTGAAAAGATTGGATTCAGGAACAAGCAATGCAATGCTTGATGCTGAATTTGTATGATTCAATGCTTGACTCACCCAAGCGCTTGGATAAGGAGGAAAGAGCTGAAAGTATTTATCTGGCTATGCACGATAGCTTTCACTCTGTATGAACTGAGGACTGTTTATGACAAAACATTATTGATATTGTTACGACAGCGGAAGTCACGTGAAGCTAGTAACACGTCATGAACTTCTAGAAGGATCCTGTCCCTTCCTGAATGCTCGAGAGGCTACTAGATATCGGTATTATTTTATATGTAAGACGGTCAAGACGTGACGGCAACAATGTAATGTGTAATTGAACTGCGGACACAGAGAGAATATATTTGAGTCGAGCACGTGAGATGTTCATTGTGAATTATAGCACGACTATGGAAATTAAGTGTATTGCAAAGTTGTGTTCAGAAATAATAAACCAGTTTTATTTAAGAAAGGACTTGTATCGGTAAAGTTTCTTCGGAAAGAATTTTTACGGAAAATTAACTAACGACCGGAAGCGTAACAAATGGTGTCAGAGAGTGGAATAAAAAAAAATGGAAACGAGAAGCGGCAAATCAAACTACAGCTTAGCAGATTTGATGCCAGCAATACAAGAGCAACAAAAGAAACAAGTAGAACGAGAAAAGAAACAAGAAGAGAGATTACAGCAGCTGTTGGAGGAAAAAGATGAGAGACAACAGCATTTGCAAGCAAACCTGCAACAGTGGCAGCTCGAACAGCAAAATAAACAAGAAGAGAGATTACAGAAGCTGTTGGAGGAAAAAGAAAAGAAACAAAAAGAGGGATTACAGCAGCTGTTGGAGGAAAAAAGAAAAGAAACAAGAAACGAGAAGATAAGCAAGAAAAAAATTACAGACAGACTGTTGGAAGAAAAAGAAAAGAAACAAGAAGAACGAGAAGATAAGCAAGAAAAGAGATTACAGCAGTTGTTGGAGGAAAAAGAAAAGAAATAAGAAGAACGAGAAAAGAAACAAGAAGAGAGATTACAGCAGTTGTTGGAGGAAAAAGAAAAGAAACAAGAAGTACGAGAAAAGAAAAAAGAAGAGAGATTACAGCAGTGGCAACTAGAACAAGAAAGGAAACAGGAAGAAAGTCTCCAACAGTTGCAAGAAAATCAACAACAGTGGTAAGAAGTACAAATGGAAAAAATTAGTAAATTTCAAAGCGAATTAAATACATTAAAGGAGGATACATTAACCATCGACTTAATTAGCCCCAGACAATGCCAAGCCCCTTCCAGACCCCGCAGCTAAACCCTAATGCAGACATCTTCAATCCTGTTAGAAGTCACATCCCAGATATGAATGTCAGCAGTAGGGGTGATCCAGTACAAAGGAACCCACAGGAATTCGATGGGAAGGCACCGTGGGAAGCATATAGAGCACAATTTGAGCTACTGGCAGAAATGAATGGATGGACAGAGGAGCAGAAAGCAGTATATCTGGCAACGAGCTTGAAGGGACAACAACTGGAAATACTTGGACAGTTGTCAGCAGATGACAGACACAACTATAGAGCACTGGTAGTGGCTCTAGAGCTCAGGCATGGAACTCAAAATCAGTCCGAAGTCTACAGGGCTAGGTTTAGGACGAGAGTCCATGCTAAAGGGGAGAGCCTGCAAGAGCTGGCACAGGACTTAGAAAGTATGGCACACAAGGCTTACCCAACTGCACCACCCGACCTCCTCAAGTTGTTGCTGAGAGATCAGTTTTTAGACGCCTTGGACAGTCCACAACCGAAATACAAGTGAAGCAAGC